AATAAAGAACGCAGTATTTTTCGCTCAGTTTACTTAGGTTTCTAGATCATATGTACTTGTGCGTACTTGAAAAAATGACCACGCTACGCGCCTGCTATGACACTGGACCATCATGCCGATCATATCTTCACTATGGGCGAATGGCGGTGGGCACGTCTAAAAAAACACCCCACAGTCAAAGTCACAATCACGCCCGACAATATGTTCATTGACAAGCATGCACTACCGGATACACCACTGGAAACTCACATCACAGCCGTCGCAGACACAGGGGCCCAGTCGGACTTGTGGTCCCTATCGTATTTCCTGGCATGTGGGTTCCCGAAGGAACTCCTAACACCAGTCCGCCTGAGGCCTGAGCCTGTCAGCAGCCAACCCCTCGCCTATAAACATCGAGGGAGCGTTCTTCGCAAAGCTGAAAAGTTTTCAAAAATCAATTTTTTCCTTAAAACCTCTGGAAATAGGAAAATGCCTTCGACGAAAACAGAGTTCTTCGGTTAATCTCGCTAAATTTTAGACCTAGGACACTTGAGCCCGCGTTGTTGACCGCATACACTCTGACGTAGCATTCAGCTCTGTCAGCTCGAGCGCGTCAGTTGCAGTTTCGAAATACTTTTCGCTAGTATCGATATTTTCAGACTTTATCTCAATATCACTGCTATCGAATACTGGATAACTACGGTGGCCCACAACTGTTACGGCGAAAAGAAATTGCTCACGGCGAAAAGAAATGGCAAGTGTACCGTTATAACCCCATACATTAATTATGCATTCAAACTAGTAGAGTTTGTTTTTAAAGTTTTGTGGTGAAAGACAAAGAAGTGGAATGCATAATTAATGTATGGGGTTATATGGTACTCTTTCCAAAGAAATTATTCACGGCGAAAAGAAGTTTCTCACAGCGAAAAGAAATTTCTCAGGGCAAAAAGAAATTTCTCAGGGCGAAAAGTAATTTCTCATGGCGAAAAGAAATTTCTCACGGCGTAAAGAAATTTCTCACGGAGAAAAAGAAAACACAAACAAAAACGCCTGGGTGGGGATTTGTTCGAGTTGGCTCGGATTGCATCATGGGTTGAGGTGCAGCACGCCATCTTGCAGCACGATGTTTTGCAGGACGTCGGCAGTGTTTACGGAATGAAGACAAGTTTTGCTCTCAATGCAGCAAAGGTATGGGATTTGAGGTTACTAATTGTAAAGACAGACTTTTACACGATGGTCTTTCAAGATGGATGTTTGCCCTTGTGCACTGTGAGGTGTAATGAATGTAATGAAAGGCTTTACCCCAAATGTGAGAAAACTCAGGGAGGAATTCAAGAACTTGAAATTTTGAAGCAACCGTTACCCGGGACAGTTGTGGGCCACCGTAGTTAACAGTATCAGCTCATCCTTATTAGAGTATGGGAGTGGCTGCACAAAGGCTAGAACTATTTTTGAACCTTATAAGTGAGGAAACGATCAGTATCGCCAGCACTCATTAAAATTTCGGGTCGTTATGAAGTTATGACATGGAAAGAGACTGGGTTTTCTGCAGTTACCAAATGAGGTATAACGTGAAACATACACGAGAATCATATCAAATCTTCAGCTTGCGCTCGTTCTTTACATATTGTGTATTTACCCCTAAATACTAAGATACTGCTTGACCAAAGATATTAGACATTTTAGGACTTTTAGCTATATGTGACCTCTCACGCGAAAGTCTTCCTAACGGTAGCCGTTCGAACAGTGAACGGAACGGCAAGCGTACGGGTGACGAACGGCTAGGAAAGCCGTTCGAAACGGATACTAGGGACCTTAAGCAAACCACGACGGCGACGGCAACGAGGACGGCGACGGCAACGAGGAAACAAAAGATCTAGTTGGCAGAACAATAGCTCAACACGTGTATTTTAAAACTTAGTACATTTCTTAGCCGTCCTTTGCAAAACAACAACGTGAAATCACCAAACTTTGCGTCGTCTTTGAACCGAAACCGTGATGGCAAATTATTTTAATTTCCATTTAGAACTCAACGCTACTTTTATACGTTATGTTGAGGTTGAGTTGTGGCGCCGTATGAGATGGTAAATAC